TGCTGGGGGAGGTGTCTCCAGGCCCCAGCCTGGCCTTTGTGAGAGTCCCTCCTCTCCTAACCCCTCGCCCATCCCTCCCCCACCCCCCAAGGGAAGCTGAGCCCAGCCCAGCTGTCTGGTGCTCTGGCCTGGTGCCCCAGCCTGCTCGGTCCCCATTTCTTGGAGAGAGACACAGGGCTCCCCTCCCTGGCCTGCAGGGCCGGATTAACCTTTTGTGGGCCCCCATGTAGTCGTTGTGGGCTCCGAGTGTGGGCCTGGTGTGGCAGTGCCATTGGTGCCATAGTATACCCGGTACTGAATCTGAGACCTTCATTTTGATCACACACCTCTACAGGACTATCTGCATTGCCACACACAGCTCCCTCAGCCCCCAGTTCTTTTCACTCAGCTGTACCCATGTGGGCAGAACTTTCATAGTGATCAGGGAAACTCCCCACAGATTTATCTCCTTCTCTAGCCATGTCCCAGTACCCCCCCATGGCACCAGTCACTGGATGTGGCTCTGGTCTCAGCTCAGAGTTTCACAGCCAGCGGATACCTGATCAATTCCGACAAATCCCTCGCTCAGCCCCCATCCTGCCATGTGAGCAAGCCACCTGCAAACACCATTTCCCCAATGTGAGGACCTAGCCCGTGGGAATGGAAGACACCAGCCTTTCTCCCTCTGCTCCCAGCGACATGCTAGTCTACTACCTGGTCACCACCACCTCTCCCCAGGCTTGTTTCCTCTCTACCTTGGACATGCTCCCCCACCAGCTGGGGCTATTCTCCCCTCCAAGCCTGACCTGCTCCCTCTTTCCCTGCTCCCCTTGACATTCCTCTCCTACGGTGACCTCTGTTCCTTGAGGTTAACCCCAGTTTCTTTATCTGCTCTAGCTTAATGGCCCCAGTAGTCACAGAGCCACCTGCAGCTTCTCTGGCTACAGCCATGGGGCCAATTGCCAGAGGCCAGCCTTAGATAGCTGCAGCTCCTAGTCAAGGGAGGGGTGGCAATTCCCAGGCTGAGCATGCTTGAACCTTGCAATGGCGGCACTAAGGACTCTAAATCCTCAGCGCTGGCCCTAGGCAGCTGCAGGCTCTGCAGTTCGGCACTTCCCTCCTCTAGGCCATGGCTTTAAGTACCTGAGATGCCCATCACCTGCAGCAGAGGCCACCAATTCCCACGCACCCCTCAGCTAGCACATAGTTGAGCAGAAAGTGCAGCCTGGATGATTTTGGAGGCTGGGGTGCCAGGCGGTTCCTATCTCTGAGCAGCAGCTCTGCCACAAGCTCACATGCCCCCCCCCCCCCCTGCTGTGGGACCAGGATGCTATGAAGACAGTGGAGTTACCCCGTGTATAACCAGTTCTGTCCAAAGCCCGTTGAAGACAGTGGGAGTCTTTTCATTGTCTTTAATTGGCTGTGTATAGAAGCAAAGGACCCCATTCTAGACTCGAGGAGCAAAGTGCATTCTATGCTGCACTGATTTACTATTGTAACAGGAACGTCTCACATTACCTAGTGAATAAGCAACACCTCCTACAGCACCTAACTTTTTCTGAGAGGCTTCCCACCCAATTACTAAATGTAAACCTGCTTAGCTTACAAGGGCTGAAAATATCCGGTGGTATGGTCACAAAAGCAAGGCACTTCTGAATTCAGGAGGAATTTTGGATGTGCACAGAACACAGACAGGACTGGTTCCTGCATGGTTACAGAACTGCAGTAAAGTGGAACAATTTTCAGCTTGTGTGATTGGAGGATATCTGGATCCATATTATAAGACTGTCCTACATAAATGAAGAAAAGTTGAGGTGCCTTTATTATTCTTTTGTTCCACTCTTCGTTTCTATGGGGAATTTGCCAATGCAATATCACGGTCTTCCTTTTAAAGAAACAAAACTTAAAAAAAGGTAATGGCTGTTGAAAATAACAATTCCAGTCCTAGTTAGCACTGGGAAGACCCCAGCATTTGTTGCTCAATTTTATCCTACTTTTTCTACAGCAAGTTACAGTGGATCCGCATATTTGATTTGGGAGAAATGAAGTAACAGCTGCCCAAATTGAGCTTGAGCACTCCTGAATTTTTGAGGGGTTCAAATCTGGAAGGCAGGTGCTAGATTCCCTTTCTGAATATTGGATAAATCTGGAAAGGAAAAGTCAATTTCTGCTTCCATGGCTCAGAAGTGGAAATCCTCCTGCGTGCCTGGTACTGTACCTAAAGCTGCCCAGGTGCTCTAGTAGAGCCTCCCCTCCCTTACTTTTCATTTTAACTTCTCCTAGTGGGGTCCACGTACCTCCCCTGCTAGGCTTCAGATAGAGGTGCAGTGTCCATTCATTCCACCTAATTCCTTCTTTGGGGGCTGCCAGGCGAAGTCACACCAGCATCCCTAATCCAGTCTGGGGAAGTCTTCTGAGGGTGATATCTTCTACTTAAGGTGACCAGATATCCTGATTTTTTTTATAGGGACAGTCCCGATTTTTTAGGTCTTTCTTATACAGGCTCCTATTACCCCCACCCCCGTCCCGATTTTTCACACTTGCTGTCTGGTCACCCTACTTCTACTCCTAGGGCACATTTGTTCCCCACTCACACTGCCATCCCCTTCTAGCAGCCAGCTCCCCATCCACAGCAAGCACATGGGGTCTCCGCTTCCCCACTCCCTCCCCCTCCCTTTCCTGTGGATAGCTGCCAAGGGAATGCTGGGAAATGTAGTTCCTTCCCTGCTCCAGGGCCTGCTCTCTAGGCAGGGAGCTGGCCAAGGAACTACAGCTCCCAGTGCCCCGGGGGGTCTCAGCTCCCATGCTGGATCCCTGCCGCTGCTCCGGGAAGCGTGTTATGGGCCCCTTTGGCGCTGGGCCCGGTGCCATGGTGAATCTGATACTGCTGGCCTGTGAATGGGGTGAGGGTGGGACTTGGGACAGGCCGGGTGTGGGGGGAAGGGCCGATAAGTGACCAGCTGCTACCATTGCAGCACCCAGCACTGACTCGGGTGCAACAGAGGGTCCTGTGGCACCTTTAAGACTAACAGAAGTATTGGAGCATAAGCTTTCGTGGGTGAATGCCCACTTCATCAGACGCTTATGCTCCAGTACTTCTGTTAGTCTTAAAGGTGCCACAGGACCCTCTGTTGCTTTTTACAGATTCAGACGAACACAGCTACCCCTCTGATCCTTGACTCTGGTGCGTCTGTCCATGGCTCTCAGCCCCACTCCCCTATGGCCCCACATTCTGGGACACACATGGCAGGGTGGGGGGGCTACTGGGCTGATCCCTGGCAGAGGTGCCAGGGCGATCAGGTTGCGGGGAGGGGTGCAAACAGCCCATGATGCTGCATTGGGCAAGGTCCTAACTACCCCACCCCTCTGCCCCTTGCCAGTGCTGATAGGATCCCCTTCCTCATGCACGACGAGACGCTCACCCGGACCACCAACGTGCAAAAGGTGTTCAATGCCCAGGCCACCATGAGCGGCACAACCTTCAACTGGACTGATCTCCAGCAGCTCGACGCCGGCAGCTGGTTCCTGGAGGTCAGGCCCCCCTCCTCGGGGCGTGGTAGGGTTTCTGCATGGCCTGGCCCTGCCCTGCAGAGGGCTCTGCCTGCTGCACTGATCCAGGCTGCTCTTGGCAGAGCCCTGGGGCTCAGCCCTCCGGGGTTCCCAGGCCCTGGAGAGTTTTGCCTCTGCCATGAGGTGGGGGTGGGGGGCTACCTTCCAAGCCTCACTGCTAGAGCTGGGAGTTGCTGTGACCTTCCGGAGGCGTGGGGAAGGCTGGCTGGGAGGGGTGAGCCGTTCCCTGGCTGTGCTGTTTGGCTGGGCTCGGTGCCTGCCTACACAGTGATGCTTTGGTTAGCACCCAACTGCTGAGCTGCTCTGGTCTCCGGCAGGTGGCAGGGCGACCTGTCCTCCCTCTGTGCCCTCGCCCTGGGGTCTGAGCGGCTGCTCTGCCGTGCTAGTGAGGGGCAGTGAGCACTGGGGGGCGCTGTGGGCGTGAGGGAGAGCACCCTGTGCCTTTGGCGCTGGGAGATGGTGTTGAGGGGGCAGTGTGGGAGGCCAGGGCCCTGGGGCCAGCTGTGAGCGCTGCCCCCCCCCCCCAGGTGGGGTAGCTGCTGACTCTGGCCTGTCCCTTCCAGAGGAATCCGTTCCGCTCGGTGCAGGGCCTCTCCAGCGAGGCGCAAGGCCAGGCGCGGGCACAGAAGATCCCGTCTCTGGAGCAGGTGCTGCAGGAGGCCAAGCAGCACAACATCTCCATCATGTTCGACCTCCGGCCCGAGAACCACACGGACTACCAGAGCTTCGTTAACGTCACCGTGGCAACCATCCTCGAGTCGGGCATCCCGCCGCAGCTGGTGAGCCTGGCGCTGCCCCTGGAGTCTGACGCCTGATGGGCAGCCGGAGGAGGGAATGGCTGAGCATCAGGACCAGACGTCCTCCCCCAGGGGTCCCTGAGCCTGCCCTTTACCAGCGGTGAGCTCCCCTCCCCATGGGGCGGGTCAGACCCACCTGGTGCTCTAGAGTCTCCCTGAGCGTGCTCAGAATCTGCCCTTGCCATGATCCCAGGTACCCTGAGTGCCACAGCACCCACACGTCACACACGAGATGCTCGGGCGGGTCCTCGCCTATTGCAGGTCCGGCCCTGGCCCATGTCCGCGATAGGCTGCCGGACAAGCTGCTGCCCTGTGCCTGTTCCTAGTGGCCTGGGGTGCTTTGTAGTACGGTTAATGGGCAGGGAGAGGTGTAAACTTACTTGGAACTCCCTGCTCAAGTGCCACTCCCTCCCCACGTGTAAACAGGGACTCAGGAGAGCCCTGGCAGCGAGCCAAGTTGGTGAGGAAGCAGGAAAATCAACTAACAAGCTGCCACCTTCGTACTCCCTGCTGCTACCACACCCTGCAGGTCCATGGCTCCCTGACGCTACAGCCTCGCTTTCATTCCCTCCGCCCCAGCCTTTGGGCGCTGGATGCACATGGCCCTGCTGAGACCAGCCTGGCGGCTGGCTTCGCTGCCCCTTCCTGCTCCTGCTCACCGGTTAGGGGAGGAATTGTTTACTTTGCAGACAGAACATGCCCTGGAGTAAAGGGCCTGTGGGCTCTCTGCCCAGTGGGTGCCCTCTGCCCATGACCAGGGCACTGGGACAATGTGTACAGTGGGGGGGCTGAGAGCCATTGAACCAAACTGTAAACCCCGCATATGGTGGAAAGCACGTCAAGCCAGGGGGTGCTGCACCCCTGCACCCCTAGTTCCAGCACCTGTGCCCAGGACTCACTGGGTGCAGGGGCTCTGAAGGGGTTGTTGGGGCTCTGAGCCAGCCCAAAGTCCCGGGCACATCTTGGCGGGTCCTAGCTGGCCCCCATCATGCCTCGTCCAGGTCTGTCACTCCCAGACCTGCTGGGGGAGACTCCCATGGCAGGTGGCCTGATGGGGACTCTGCTGGGGCCAAGCACCGGATGGGCGCACAGAGAGGGGGCTGGGTAACCACTTCCACTATCCACTTGGATGTGCACATCAGTGCGGCTGGCCCTGCAGCCTGGGTCCCAGAGCACAGCGAGTGCCCCCTGGTCTCCCAGCTCACACCAGGCCTGATTTCCCCCCCCCCCCCCCCCCCCACACCCCCCCGCCCCCCCCCGCGGGCTCAGGGACCAGGTCCGACAGCAGGCACCAGGATTTCAGCAAATCTACGGTCTGAAGAGCAGCTGGAATGAAACAGAGTCTCCACTGCGACTGAATCTGCCGTACCAGGACGTCAGCACAGAGCAGATTGGGTGAGAGCCCCTTGTCAGGGTGCGGAGCACAGAGCAATGGCGCCTCAGCCCCGCAGAGGCGAGTCTAGCTCCCCACTGTGGCCACGTACACACCCTGATGCCACAGCTGGCAGTAGGGCTCGAACCCCGAGCATGGGGAGCGCTGGGTGGGAGCCAGGCTTTCCCAGTTCCTGCTGGCCTGTGCCACGCTAACGAGGCTCCATCCCCTCCGCAGCCGGTATCGCCAGGACAACATCTCCGTCAATCTGTACGTGGTCAATGAGCCCTGGCTCTTCTCCGTGCTGTGGTGCGCGGGGGCCGGCTCTGTCACCACCAACGCCTGCCAGGTGCTGAAGGAGATGAAGCGCCCCCTCTGGCTGCTCGTAAGTGAACCTACCCTGGGTGGCGCTGGCAGAGGCTGCATGCCCTGAGCCCGCCTGGCCCGTCTGCACTGCCACACCCCAGCGAGGGGGCCAGGGGGTGCTGCCAGGGCCTGTTCTGCCGGGGTCCCCATTGAGCTATTCGTCCTGTCTTGTTGCCTTGCAGCCCCGCAACACCTATCTGATGGTTTGGATTGTGATCGACTGCGTCTCCTTCCTCCTGCTCCTCTCGGCCTTCCTCCTGCTGCAGTAAGTTCAGCCTCTTCTGGGCTCCCGTAGCTGTCCATGGCATAGGAGGCCCCATGTCTGCTGCCCTCTGGGTGACCTGTAGGTAGGGCAGGGTCTGCTGCCATCACCCATCCACCCTCTTGATCTGGGAGAACTGCTCTGCAGCGCTGGGAGCCCACTTCTCCCGCCTTGCACTGCGCTAACCTGGGACACAGCAGGCTTAGAGGGAGCTTTCCTCCCTGGCCTCTGCCGTGAGCCTGGCCCTGAGCTGCTCCATCCCACTGTTGTGGGACTTGGTCATGGCTTATTGGCCCCCACCTATAAGCTGAGCAAGGTGGGCCTGGCATGGGAGCCCTCCAAGGGGACTCGCGTGACTCCATTGCCCTGGGACCCTCCATGGCTTGTTATGGTTTGCAGGCACTCCCGTCCCGTTCCAGCCATGGCAGAAAGGCCTCTACCAACTCTGAGTTCAAACCACAGTGGCCAAGTGGTGGGGCAGAGCCCTGGGGGAGTGGCCCTGGCCCTGGGTTTGGGCTGATCTCTCTGCGGAAGGGCCTGAATGCTGACTCGCTCTCCTGAGTGAATTTCAATCCTGTTTGCTTTCCAGGAAATGCTCCAGGAGAAAAGAACCGGCAGGTAATGGGCCCCTGCTCCCCACACCGCTACCCCCTTAAGTCCCTCTCCTCACCACGCCCTCTTGCTCCTGGTCTTCCCCTCCCCCTTCCTCTCAGATCACTGTCTCTCTGCTCACCTGCAGGGCCAGGCCCTTGCCACAGCTTAGCTCCCAGGGGCTCTCCCCACCCCAGGCTGGGGAGCTTTCAGGGGGCTCTGCCAGGCTCTGGGCCCAGGCTGTCCTCCTAACTCTCCTGACAGAGAGAGGGGGCCGCACCCCCCCCCCCCCCCCCCCCCCCCACAGCCCTGTGGGGAAAAGGGGAGGGAGCCCAGCCAAGGGAGCTCCCATCCTGCCTGCTTCCCTAGCAAGTGCTACTCCCTGAGATGATGAGGGTGTAGGGGGGCCAGGCAGCGCCTCCTGCAGCAGCAGCTGCCTTCCACCCCACGATTGTTGCTGGGCTGGGGCAGCCCTGGGGAGGGCAGAGGCTCCTGGAATGACCCTTTCTCCCATTTGGTTCCCCAGAGTCCAAGTCAGACGTGCTGCTAACGAAGATCAACAGTCTCATGCAGGAATGACGCCCAGCCCCCGCGGTGCCTGGTGGTGGAGGGGTTTGAGCTGGGCACAGGTGGTGGTTAGCAGGGAGCGCCCAGACTTGCTCCTGCCAGCCTTGAATACCCTTTCCTCTGCAGGGCCCTTTCCAGGCTGTGGGCTCCCCACAAACCCTCAGTCTCCCCCCTGCAGAACAGGGCACTGGGGCTGGGTTTATCGTGCCCCCATGGGCACCTCTCCCCTGCAGGTCAGGGGCCTGTGTCCTAGAGTAGACAGGCGTGTGTTCCCCTGCCCACGGGGACAGAGCTGGGGGTGGACACCAAGATCTTGGCCTTGCAGCCTCCTGGGGCTGTGGGAACAGATACTGTCTTGGAGGCTCCTCGGTTGTAACCTGCTGTGCAGGGGCACTTGTACCACAGCAGGGACTGGTGCAGCTGCTGCTGTGAACTGGCTTTTCCTGTCTCCTGACGCGTGAGAGGCCTGAAGGGTTTCGTTTACAGGGAGCCAGGTTTAAAGCACTCCTGGCCTTGTGCCATAGGGGAGCCTAGGACTAGATTGCTTTGAGCTGTGTCTGGGGAAAGGTGAAAGGGCAGGAGCGCATCGTGGGCCCGGGCAGCTGGGCTGCAGCGTGGGGATCCTAGTGCAGCAGGATGGAAACGAAGGGTCCCTCACTGAGCGGAGGAAGCCCATTATCCTCCTCGAGACTCTGACGCTGGCCGCCAGCCATGCGTGCGGGATGCAACAGTAGGCCCAGCCCCATGAGACCCTGACCCTGCTTGTCTAGTGGAAGAGATGGGGTTTGGCTTTGGATGGAGGGGATCGTGGGGGGGGGGGCTGTCTTTCCATATAGAACACAGGTGCTGGGTGAAGGCCCTCAAAGCACCATCCCTGGACTGGGTGTGACGCTATCCTGCTGGTGAGGGGGTGTGCTGGGGCATGAAGTGGCCTCTCTTTGCTGCAGGGGTCTCAGCAGCATGTGTCTATTTTACTTGTTCTTAATTATGTATGTTAATAAACTGACCCAATTGGATAAAAAAACCAAACAATTAGCATCTCTGAGCTGATTCTGAACTCCCCCAAAGGGACCCCTGGGTCTAGGAGCTGGCATCCGTCAGCAATTCGGGGGCAGACCCTGTCTCTCGTCTGTCTGGAAAGCCCCTGGCCCAGCAGGGGCGCTCTACCAATTAGATGAGGAATCCCTGCTTATACTAGTGAGGTCAGTGTCAAGCAACAGCTCCGAGCCAGGGCCTCACCACACTGAGAGCGTGATTAGGGGAGATCCTAGCTCTGCGCTGGGCCGGCTGGGGGCCTGGGCTCCTCCCATCTCTGCTCCATGCTCTGCTTTCCCCATCTGTAAGAGCCGGAAGCTGCAGCAGGCTGGAAGGATTAGTTCATGGTGGCTGGTCAAGTGCTGCCTCTGCTGGGATGTGCAGAGTCATTAATGGCAGCCCTGAGCAGTTTGCTCAGCAGGGACAGAGTGCCCACAACAGCGCCAACAGTAGGGTTACCATATTTGAACTTTCAAAAAAGAGGACACTCCGGGGGTGTGTGTGTGTGTGTGTGTGTGTGTGTAGCCCTGCCCCCTAGCCACTCCCTTCCAATTGCCGCCCCCCTGACTGCCCCCCACAGAACCTCCAACCCTCCATGCTCCTTGTCCCCTGATCACCCCTTCCTGGGACCCCTGCCCCTAATCACCCCCCGGGACCCCACCCCTTATCTAAGCCTCCCTTATCTTTGTCCCCAACTGCCCCCTCCTGAGACCCCCCCCCACCCTACCTGTCCCCTGACTGTTCTGACTCCTATCCACACCCCTGCCCCCACCAGATCCCCGGGACTCCCACGCCTATCCAACCGCTGCCTGTTCCCTGACTGCCCCCCCCACACACCCCCGAACCTCCAACCCATCTAACCGTCCCTGTCCCCTGACTGCCCCAATCCCTCTCCACACCCCTGCCCCCTGACAGGTCCCCCCAGAACCCCTGACCCATCCAACCCTCCTGCTCCCTGTCCCTTGACTCGCCGCGCTCCCTGCCCTGCCCCACCCCAGCTCACCTCCGCTCTGGCTCTGCCTGCTCCCCTGAGCGCGCAGCCACCCCGCTTCTCCGCCTCGCCCCCGGCTTGCCTCGAATCAGCTGTTCGGCGGCAAGCCTGGGAGGGAGGGGGCGAGGAGTGGAGCAGAGTGGGGCGCTCAAGGCAGCAGGCGGAGCGGAGGTGAGTGGTTCCCCTGTGCCCCCCGTTACCTGCTGCGGGCAGCCCTCCCCGCGCCCCCCTGCCCCAGCTCACCTCCCCTGAGCGCTCCGCTTCTTCCCCCTCCCTCCCAGGCTTGCCACGCAAAAGTCTGGGAGGGAGGGGGGTGGAGGGAAAAAGCGGCGCGCCCGGGGGAGGAGACGGGGCCTGGGATTTGGGAAAGGGGTTGGGATGGGGGCGGAGAAGGGGCAAGCCGGGAGCGGGGGTGGGGGCGCGAGCCCCCACTGGCGCCGGCTACAGTCGGTCCCTATGCCCCACGCAGCGCTGCCGGCGTGCTGAAGCTGCGGGGGAGGGGCTTTTGCTGCCGGAGCGGCCCCAAGTGAGCGGCTCAATCCGGCGCGGCTGCCCTGTCAGCCGCTTTTGGGTCTTTAGATAGCCGTCCGGGGGGAAATCCCGGACATTTTTAGCTTTTTACAAATTCCCCCCGGACGGCTATCTAAAGACCCAAAAGCCAGACATGTCCGGGGAAACCCGGACGGATGGTAACCCTAGCCAACAGACACGTGCTCTCACTGAGCAGTGCCCCTGACTTTGGGTACCCACCTCGGGCCTGATTCCCAGGGGCCCATCAGGATCTGTAGGAGCTTGGCACGTCTGCGCATCAGGCCCGAGGTGGGCATCAGCGTTAGGAACTACTTTTGGAAAACTGGCCCTTTCTGAGGGGAAGGATGGGAGAAGCAAACACGTGAGCTGTGCTATCTGTGGTCTGTCACCACCACCTAGTGCCGAAACGAGGAACTGGCACCTCTTGTTACTGCAGCGTTGTAGCCGGGTCGGCCCAGTGCCTCGCCCACCTTGTCTCTAGCTATCCTATGTTATTGGACCAACCTCTGTCAGTGAGAGACAAGCTTAGGTCAGATACAGAGGGATCTCCAATCTGTCCTCATCCTCGAAAGAAACCTGTACACGACCTTCAACAGACGAGCCGGGGAGCTTAAATTCATAACTGGACTGAACACAGACACTGGAGTTATGGCTCATTACAATGATCTTTAACCCACTAACTCCTCTCTTGGTCCCGTGACTGTGGGATGTTAACAGGCCACTGTACCTTGACTGGTGCCTTAGAATATGTGCCAGCTTCGCATAAGTCATTATCTGTTCCCCTTTGTACTGAGCTGGGACACGGAATTCCTTTCCCAGGCCTGGACAAGAGCTCGCTGGAGCTCCAAAGTTTTGTCTCTCACCAACAGAAGTTGGTCCAATAAAAGAGATTCCCTCACCCCACTAGAGTTAAAACACTCCAAGCTGGGGGGAGGGAGAATGGAGTGGGAACAGGCCCAGCAGTGACAAGTGTCAGTTTTAAAGTTGTTTCCAGTACAAGCTGTGACTGCAGCGGGTCTAAGCATGCAGGGTTGGGGCTGGAGCTGGGCCGTGGGCCTCTGCCTGAATCAACTGGCCTTTGCGGGAGTGTGAGCACAAGGAGGGAAAGGAGGAGTCCCCTGACAGCAAAATCTCTAGGACCCCTGTCGACCTGCCTGGGAGTCTGTGTGACTAGTAAGAGCCCAGCTCCAGAGAAAATAGGTCTGAATTTAGCAGCGTGCAGAGGTACTGAGTGTGCACCTCAGAAGCTGAAGTTGTGAATGGTCTGGGCCCCAGAACACTTTCCAACCTATATAGGCAACTTTCCAAATACTCTGGGTTCCTGCTGTACTCCCTGTAAAATGCTCTCTGCACTGGGGAGGGTGCACAGGCCGAGGAGCTGGCTCTCCTCCATCTCTTCTCGAGTGTATGAAGTTCTGATGCCTTCTGTTTTCTACGTACTGCACCTTTCAATGGCTAAGCCCCTCTCTCTGTCGGAAGGTTCAGCAACCATCTTGTTCTCAGTTGCTGCAGCTTGGTACAGAGGAGAGGTGAACACTGTGAGGGACAGTTTGCAGACAGGGCCAGCTTCAGGCACCTGGGAGGGAAGCAGGTGCCTGGGGCGGCGCCAATAGAAAGGGGCGGCACATCTGGGTCTTTGGCGGCAATTTGGCAGCAGGTCCTTCACGCCCTCTCTTCCTTTCCAGTGGCATTTCGGGCAGCTCAATCAGGGTTGTTGTTTTTTCTTTGCCACTTGGGGCAGCAAAAAAGCTAGAGCCGGCCCTGATTGCAGAGGCAGTAGTGGGGGGGGGGGGAACCACCCCTCCTTGCTGGATCCATCCTAGGCTCTCCCTGTACCCCTAGGCCACTGCCCAGCATGCTTAGGAACCCTGGGAAGCTACGTTGCTCTGCTGAACTCTAAGCTGCAGCTCTCGATCCTAGTCCAGTCCGACTGCTGCCCTCCATAGCAGTGGTGTCCTGCTACCTCAGCCTAGCTTATGGGGTCTTATTGTCCTAGACTGCAACACTGCACTTTGGCAGCCCGCTCTCCCTGCGTGCCTCCTGCTGGGGCCTCCAGCTAAAAGCTGTGATGATGGCACCCTTGAGTCTTCATCCCTGGCTTCCTGCTGCGCTACTTTTGAGTTCGTTCTCTCTCTCTCCCTCTCCATACCCTTGAACTGAGTGTTAACCAGGCTTGTTGTAGGAAAAGGAGCTGCCGCTCAGTCAACACACTATCCATCTTCCCCTCCCAGTTCTGCCCCTAGGGGCTGGAACTAGGGGTGCTGAGGGAGCTGCCGCACCCCCTGGCTTGAAGTGGTTTCTATCATATGCAGGGTTTACAGCTTGGTTCAATAGCTCTCAGCCCCCCCACTGTACACGCTGTTCCAGAGCCCCTGGTTCTGCCTCCCTTTCACCCCTCGATCCTGACCTTCAGCCCTGGACTCCCCTGTCCAGAGCTCTGCCAGTGCCCCTCAGGTCTGACCCATAACACCCCCCCCCATTATCCCAGCCGTAGGCTTCCCCCGGCTCTCCTAATGGCCCTCAGCACGTGCGTACCCCCCCCACACACACCCCTTACCCTTAATTCCCAGACCAGCTTGCACTAGTTGTGGTGAGGTCAAATTATGTGAAGTGATTTTGGTGAAGTCCTATTAGTGCAGAGGCCCCTAACCCGTGGGGCATGCTCCCCTGGAGGGCACAGTGGAATGTTCGGGGGGGAGCAGCTGGGGCCTTGGCCAGCCCCTACAGGGTGATTGGGGGGGGGGGTGCCACCCAGCCCTGCTCCCAGCCCTGCCCCCAGCTGTGGCCCCAGCCTCTTACCCCTGCCTGCGTCCCTTCCCCCCCCCCCCCGAGCTGCAGCCCCACTCCCAGCCCTGGCTTGGGGGGAGGGGCATGGACAGGGGTAATGGGGGGGCACGAGGTAAAAAGTTTGGGGACCACAGCATGAAGGTGACCAGTGGGCAAGTGTGAAAAATTGGGACACTTTTTTTTTTTCTGCGGGAGGGTGTGACGGGTGTCAATGTATGCAAAGCCCCTAATATTGGGGTGCCTGGTCCCCCAAAGTCCCACCCCACTGGCTGCAGGGCCTGGCTTCCCTCTCCTCTGGCAGTGCCGGGGTTAATGTCCGGCCCGGCCCAGCCCAGCCCAGCCCCACCTTCAGAGCCAAGCCCTGAAGTGCTGACAAAGGCGGCAGGGCTGGGCCAGGCCCGGGTCCAAGGGGCTGTGCGGGGCCAGGCCCCCCTTCCCCGGCAGCACAGGGCCCTGCTGCCAGCACTGCAGGCCAGCCCTCCTCCATGGCTGGGCCCGCCCCTGAGCCCAGCCCGGCCCCCTCCACTCCACACAGCCCAGGGCGACAGCAGGGAGCCTCGGCTCACCACTTCCCTGGCCAGGCCGAGTTGGCTGTGCCCGCCCGAGGGGCTCGCCTGGGGCTGCCCCGGGGCACGGTCCCAGCACCGCCAGGCTGGGCAGTAGCCGGGGGGAGAGGCCCAGTGTCCAGACTGCAGGAGCTGTTGCAGCTGGAGCTGGGGAAGGAGGCAGCCAGCTCCGTGTATCGCTTTCCCGGGGCAGGGCCAGGCCGGGGGGGTCCCAGCCGCTTGCTGCCTCCAGGGTCCGGCCTGCGGGGCTGACATGAGGGCAGGCGCCTGGAGGAAACGGCTGCGAAGGGACCCGCAGCCCTGCCGAGCGGAGAGATGATCAGTCGGCAAGGTAAGGACTGGAGCCCGAGCCCTGGCCAGGCGGCCGGGGCGAGGGCAGGAGACACTGGCACTGGGGGCAGCCGGGGAGGCGTAGAGCCGCAAACTGCCCCGCCCAGAGCTGCCTTGGCAGGGCCCCACACCCAGAGAGCAGGAGCTTCGATTAGACACCTGCCTTCGGCTGTGAGACATCGGGGCCAGGTGCAAGGAAAGCCGTTTTCCCAGCTCCCCCAGGTTGGGCAGAGCCGGCTCCTTGTCCCCAGGGCCGAAGAGCCGGGCTGGGGCCCAGCGACACCTGGGAGTGAGGATGGGCTCTGGCTGCAAAGCGGCTCTGCCCGGTGCCAACCCCACTGGGCTCCCAGAGCGCGGGCGAGTTTGGGGCACTGGCGGGTCAGAAACCTGAGGAGCTGCCCTGGGCTGCTTTGCCCAGAGGTGCCTCTGCAATTCCTCCTGCACTGGCTGCAGCAGCGACCCCCTGCCCCTCCTGCTGGCCCCGCAGTTCCCAGCTCTGCCCAGCACCAGCGCGGGCCCCTGCGTGGGGCTAACGCCCAGGTGCCCGCCAGGCCGTGCCTGACTGGAAAAAGCCCAGCGGCTCCCCTAGGCATGTCCGCCAGGGCACCTCCGTCAGCCATCTCCAGGAGACGCTGCAGCCTCAGCGCGAGCGAGGCCCAGAGACCCTGGGCACGGACTGGGCCACGGGTGCTGGCACCGGCAGGGTCCTGCTGGTCTCAGTGTGCTGAGGGCCTGAGCTGGCAGCTGTGCCTGGGGGTCAGCTGTGTGCTCACCCGCCGGTGCTGGTCCCTCGGGCCTTTAGCCCTTCGCTAGCGGGCGGGAGGCACCTGGGCTCAGGCTCTCTCCCGTCACTGCTGCATCCACCAGGCCTCATGGGGCTGTCGTGTGACATGTTTCCCTGGAGTCCAGTTTTGTCTGTGGTCGTAGGCCAGGGGTAAAGTAAGGGGGAACACCCTCTTCTTCCTCCCCTCTGGGGACACGGCCCTCCCCTCCTCCTGGTCTGGTGTGGTGAGAGCCCACCCCCCCAGCTTCAAGCTGCGTTCCCTTCTGATTGTACGGGACCACATGGGAGCGAGGCCAAAGTGGGACCCCGTTGTCACAGAAGGAGGAGATTCTGGAGCACTTGCAGAGGTTTGGTTTTGTGAGATGCAGATTGGGCAGACCCCTCCCCCCAGCACCTGCGGGGTGGGCCTGTGTGGGGTTCAGTGCACTGTATCTGTCACACTCAGACAGTACCAGACCCCCTCTCTGCAACCTCGCAGGGGAGGGGTGTGTCTCGCGCTCCCCTGGGCTCATACGCTTTCCACAGCCAAAGCAGCGTGAGTTTTGGTTCTCTGTCCGTTTAGGGGGCAGACAGCCTCCTCACACTGGCCCTTGCTGGCTCCGCTGTGTTAGTCTCAGGAGCCAGGCCACGGAGTGAACAGGCTACAAAGACTGACCCTCTGGCCGGGGAAGGGTGAGCTGGGCAGCGTGTGTGCGAAGCCGGGTCAGCCGCTGCCTGGGCTGAACTGGTTTTGTAGGCAGAGGGGTTTTAGGTTCCAGGGCTGGCAGGAGCCTGGAACCCCCGCAAACCCAATCAATCCAGCTGGCATCCCAGGAGATCCCAGCCTCTCACCCGCTCAGGGTGGGGAGGGACTCTGTTTGCATTAAGGCTTATTCATGCTTCACCCGCTTCCTCTTTCCCTTCTGGGGCCTGCAATACACCAGCGTGGGAAGGTGACACAGACAAAACCACCTTCCTCTTCCAGCCAAGAGGAGATTTTTGGGGGGGGGTTTTCTCCCCACCGGGACCACGTCCCTGCAGAAATCCCCAGGCCCAGAGAATGGGAGCAGGGACCCCAGGTGGCCTGAGTCTAGGCTCTGACGGACACAGATCCCCTTGTTCTGTGCTCTGTCCCCTGCTGTGAGCGCTGGATGCTGCAGGACTAGCAAGGCAGCTCAACCCTTTCGCATGAGTTCCTAGGTCCAGAAATGTGCCCCGACCTCCCTCCTCACCTCCTCCCCCACACAGAAGTCCTTTGTTTTTCCTGCTGCCTCCATAACAAAGGGAAACGTTTGCTGACAGGGATGGGACCAGCCCAAGGTCTGTGCAAAACCTTCTTGTTTGTGTGAGATCCGTCGCTCTGCTAGGCCCAGGGGCTGCTGCTGGACTACAGGAGCTGGCCTGCGTCGGGCTATAGAGCTGGGCTGATGGCGCAAGGAACTCGTCCAGAGACACCTTCAGCTCTCCAGATGGAAACGGATCAGGCCCCTGCTATCCCAGCCCTTGGCTCCCACGCCCACCTCTGCCTGTGTGCTTCAATCCCAGCCCCCAGCCTAGACCCAAGCCCCACCTTGCCATTACAGCCCTCTTTTTCTTTTGGTGAAGGCAGCATGTCCATAATGTGAGGTAGCCGTCAGGCAGCTCCGAGCAGGCTTGGCTCCTGTCGCCCAAAGACCAGCTTGGGGACCAGGGGGATGTCCAAACCCAGCCCCGCTGAGAGCCAGCCCTGGCCCGGAGGGAGCCAGTGGGCAACACCCATTGTGCGTAACTGCCCTAGCTTATGGCTGCTCTCCCCTGCCGGAGCGTGGCCTCACATGGAGACCATAATTCCCAGGATGCAATGCAGCCAGAAACCTCTCCCCTCCCTCCAGTGGAGCTAACAGCCCTGCTCCTGTGGAGACGTGGGATCCCAGCATGCCGTGCAGCTGGGCGCACCCCCGGGCTTGGCCTGTCTGCCTTAGGGCCAGATGCTGAGGGTTGGGGTTGCAGTGTAATTCCGGCGTGTTTGGGGTAGGTGGGTACAGTCTGTCCGGTCTCTTGCCTTCAGGCTCAAAGGAATCGGATCCACAGAACCACTAGTTCCATAATTTGTGCCTGGCTTCAGCGGTGACCCTTCATCTTTCACTGCCCAGTAAATCAGCGGTGCAGGGTCTGGTCCACTTTCACTGGTGTGCCTGAGGGGTCCCTGATGGCAGGGATTGATCTGGTGGGTGGCAGACCCCTTCCTGGGGTGGGTACGGAGAAGTGCCACGGGGCAGTGATGGGTGGTGACATGTTGTGTTGTTGTGGGTGATGCGATGTGTTACGTGATGCTCTGATGCTGTCTGAGGGCTCTCTTGTGCTGTTTCTCCAGACACTCAACGGGCAGTGGCAATTCTGACCAGGTACCAAACCACGCTGAGGGCTCCAGAGGAGCAGCAGTTGAAGGCCTCTATCGGAAAGGTCTCGCACATCTTCCGAAGTGACCTCTTTCAGGCCCTGCTGGGTAAGTGCCTTCCGCCTAGTGAGCTGACTGCTGGCTTCGCACTGAACAGCCACCCTGTGGCTGACACACGCGCGTAACCCTCCCCTCTCAGGGTGCGGATGCTGGGGACCCGGGCTCTGATCTCCTAATGTCTGCGGCAGGAGCCCAGCTTCTCGAGGGAGTGAGTTCTAAGGAACTTTCTGCAGCCCATGTTTTCTACACTCTGGCTGGGGCCAGGGAAGAGCCCTAGAACCCCCTTTGTCTGCGGGAGTCAGCGACCTGAGCTCAAAACCCAGCTCCTAGTGTGGCTGTACAGTGGCACAGAACGATTCCATTCAAAGCATGTGAAAGAGCTCAAAGCTTCAGGACAGCTGGAGCTGTTAAATGGCTTAACCTGCGAGACAGTAACTGTAATAGTGAAAGGCAAAGCAGGTCATGCATAGGTCCTGTGGACTACGATTCCCAGAATGCTCCTCTCACTGCCTGGTCTTAACCTTCTAATTGACGCCTCAGTCTTTCTTTTTCACTGCAGATTTGTGGGGCAATGTGGATTTTTTCACCCCTAGGATGCCCAGGCCAGTGCACGTTAAGGGGCCTTAAAGTTTTATAAAGCACTCCTTGCAGTGTTCAAACATGATGGTGTTTATGGCCCGTCAGCTATGGATCATGTGATGGAGCTTTATGCACCTTCCCCTCGCGGCCCTGCCACACAAAGCTTGCTTGTGTCGGGCATTGCTTCTCTCTATTCTTATTACCATCTCTTGGGGAGAAGTAGGTTTTTCTCCACTTGCTTCCTGTTGCAGATAATATTTCACAGGTTTGGGAAAGCAGCTCCCAGTGCAGCCCTGTCTTTCAGGAACTCCGAACCTGGAGTATTTGCAAGGAATACGATGTGTTGAGGGAAAAGAACTATACACAAGAAATGGCCGTAATAGGCAGCCCCATCTTGCAGGTCAGAGGACTGAAAATGCCTTAGATCACAGCGCAGCAACTCCCTGGAATTACATCAGCGCAGTTGGAGTCTTATTAGAAACTAGACAAATACAGTGAGAGAAACTCCCACACTATCCTGTTGAATTTTTACACACACCGACTTCCTACTTTCATGCCCCTTTCCTGTTCTTCCCATGAATTTTTCTAGCAAACAAATTAATGGCCAGGACTGTTCCTGGAAGCAGCAAATTTTAAGCGATTACTACAGACTATTCACACAAACGAAATCCTGAGTCCAGGACTGGCAGAATTCCCGGCAGAAACCCGCTTTTAACAGTAACCCTTGAGGGGCACAAACCCAATCATGTGACTTATGTGTCCAATCAACATTAACACAACTCCAATTCTGAATGCTCCAACAAGCCAGAGACAAAAAGGTATCTGCAGGAATTAGTCTGCTAATAAGTTAAAATAATGAATACATGTGTGAGAACCACCGTCTGTTTGTGGGCATCTAAATGAAATTAACTTGGCCTCTCCCTAAGGTACTTGTATGGCCCCTATCACCCTAGTACCTGAGCTCCTCACAATCTTTAATGCACGTCCCCTCAGACACCTGGCAAGGCAGGGACGTGCTAGCCTCCCCATGGTACGCAGGAGAATGGAGGCACAGAGAAGCCAAGTGATTTGCCTAAGCCTAGGTCATATATGAAGTCTGTGGGAGAGCAGGGAATTGAACTAGGGTTTCTTGAGACACAACCTTACACTCCAACTCCTGCCTTGCTAAATGAATGACTATGAATGGTTAATGACGGCGCATTTGAAGCTGGCGAGGCAGGATGGGTATTTCTAGGATGCTGGCTCCCACCTCCTTTCCTGCTGTTTTACATGGAGATGGATGGATGGATGCTCTGTTGGCAGGCTCAGGGCCACACTGCTGCCTCACTCGCTCCCGCTCCATGTGACTGCTTGGGCCCTGCAGGCACAGCATAGTCAGAAGCTTGTCAGCGCCCAGGTGCGATGGCTCCTGGGCTGCTGGGTGGTGGGGGTGTGGCTCCATTTGCTGAATCATGTGGGCTCAGGCTATGCAGAAGAACAGGTGTTTTGAACAGAGAGAGAGAACCCAGTGGCCAGTAATGTCTTTCCACCTCCCATTTCCAGGCCTGAGTAGTACAATTTGTTTGGATGGCATCTCTAACCGTATCCCACCAGACTGAAATCCAACCTGCCTATACGTCTGGGGTTCTCAAACTTCACTGCACTGTGACCCCCTTCTGACAACAAAAATTACTCCACGACCCCAGGACGGGGGACTGAAGCCTGAGCCCCCCCAAGCCCCGCCGCCAGGGGCAGGGGGGCCAAAGCCGGGCAGGGGACCTATAACCTGAAGCCCTCAGGCTTTGGCCCTGGGCGGTGGGGCTTGGGCTGCAGCTTCGTCCTCAGCCCCAGGCCCAAGCAAGGCTAACGCCTGCCCTGGTGACCCCATTAAAACAGGGTCATGACCGTTTGAGAACCGCTGCTATAGATGATTCTCCTTCAGAATGGGCTAGGGAAATCACTCCCTGCGCTGTCTTTTCCTCTGATCAACTGATCGGGCAGGGATCTCTGCTAAAACTATTGTGGCTTGCTCAGTGGGGACACACGTTAGTTTTCTGGGCATTAAAAAGAAGAGTTAGCTGTTTGATACCAAATGTATAACCATCTAAGAAGAGTGTTTTGTTTTCATAGACTGCTAGATTCCAAGGCCAAAAGGGACCATTGTGATCATCTAGTCTGACCTCCTGCATAACGTGGGTCACAGAACTGTCCCATAATAATTCCTAGAGCAGAGCTTTGAGAAAAATATCCAATCTCGAGGTAAAAATGGTCAGTAATGGACACTCCACCATGACCCTTGGTAAATTGTTCCAATAGTTAATTACTCTCACTGTTAAAAATTTGCACCTGATTTCCAGTCTGAATTTGTCTAGCTTCAACTTCCAGGCGTTGGCTCATGTTAGATCTTTCTCTGCTAGACTGAAGAGCCCATTTATTAAATATTTTTTTCCAAGTAGGTACTTACAGACTGTAATCAAGTCACCCCTTAACCTTCTGTTTGTTAAGCTAAATAGATTGAGATCCTTGAGTATAGACTATACTATAAGGCATGTTTTCTAATTCTTTACTCATCCTTATGGCTCTTCTCTGAACTGTGGCCGATTTATCAACATCGTTTTGAATTGTGGTCACCACAGCTGGACACAGTATTCCAGCAGCGGTCGCACCAATGCCAAATACAGAGGTAAAATAACCTCTCTACTCCTACTCAATATCGCCCTGTTTATGCATCCCAGGATTGCATTACTCTTTTGGGCACAGCGTCACATGTTCAGGTGATTATCTACCACGACCCCAACATCTTTTTCAATCACTGCTTCCCAAGGTAGAGTCCCTCATCCTGTAAGTATGGTCCACATCCTTTGTTCCTAGTTGTATACATTTATATTTGCTTATGCTAAACAGTCTGTTCCACCTTGTATTTATCTGTGACACTCTGAGTACCTTTCCCAGACCTAAAGAAGAGCTTTGTGTAGCTCGAAAGCTTATCCCTCTCACCAACAGAAGTTGGTCCACACATCTTGTCCCCGTAATATCCTGGGACTAACACGGGTACAACACTGCATACAACAATATGGTAATTTTATATCATTCTAGTTGGGCAATCAAAATGTCGTGTGGTACCAAGTCAAATGCCTTAGAGAAGTCTAAGGACATTACATCAACACTATTACTTTTATCTACCAAACTAGTAATCTCATCAAAAAAAGATACCAGGTTAGTTTGACAGGATCTGTTTTCCATAAACTCATGTTGATTTGCATTAACTACATCACCCTCCCCTTTAATTCTTTATTCAGCGAGTCCCATATCAGCTACTCCATTATCTTGCCCGGGATTGATGTCAGGCTGGTAGGCCTATAATTGCCTGGGTCATCCAATTTGGCACCACATTAGCTCTCTTCCAGTCTTCTGGAACTTCCCCAATGCTCCAAGACCTATTGAAAATCACCTTTACCGGTCCAGCAAGCTCCTTAGCCAGCTCTTTTAAACTCTTGGCTGCCAGTTATCTGGACCTGCTGATTTAAAAATATCTAACTTTTTAGTAGCTTCTGTTTAACATCCTCCAGAGATACTAGTGGCATGGAAGGAGTGTTATCATCACCTTGTGATGAGACTATATCCTCTGTTTTTCCCTAAAATACAGAAAAGAAATATTTGTTGAACACTTCTGCCTTTTCTGGATATTATTGATAATTTTACTATTTCCATCTAGAAATAGACCAACACCATTGTCAGGATTCTTTTTGTTCGTAATACATTTTTAAAAACTTCTTCTTAGTGTCCTTACCTATGCTGGCCATAGATTTCTCTGTGTCCCTTTTGCTTTCCTTATTAATTTTCTACCATTCCTAACTTCTCATTTATATTCATTGCTATCAACTTCCCCTTTCTTTCGTTTTGTTACATTTTTGTGTGTGTATTTTTTATAGCTGCATTCACTTCCCCTCTAAAACAGGTCTTTTTTTGAACCAGAACAGCCTTCTGCTTGATTGTGGGATTGTGGCTTTTGGGGCATCTCGTAAGGTGTCCTTAAATTATTTCCAATTATCTTTCAGATTTTTCTGAACAAATTCTTCCTCACGGCCAATTATTTTCAGCTTTGTGAAATTGGACCTGTTAATCTGCCAAGTGTATATCTTACTTGTCTTAATTTTATACTGTTGGCACATTATAGATGCGATCAAGTCACGATCACTTGTACCCAAGCTACCATTAATTTCAGTTCTGTGTGGAGCCAGCAGGGGGAACAACAAATCTATAATAATTTTGTGGGTTACATAAAAACGAGGCCATTAAAAAATGTAACCCCTTGGTGAAGGATTTTTTTTTTAAAAGCAGAAATAATTTGACATCTAGAACCCAGAGGCTGCTCTGTTTTGTGCTGTACCAGGTCAGGATAAATTCTGGGCAGGACCTAGTTACGAGTGTCTCTTAAGATACAAAAATATAAAGACAATACCAGGGAACAATTTACAGCAGAAATAATC